TTTATGCCGGTTAATTCCGGCCGTGCTGCCGGAATCGCTCGTGTAACATACAATGCATTAACGAGCAGGCATGTAATACGAAAACGCGGTAAATATTTTTGGAACCAGTCGCGGCTCGATCCCGGTTCAGATACGGCGGTCGAATTTATCGTGGCAGGCGATCGGGTCGCGTCTGGCGCAGGGCGGACTCGTTCTACTGGAATCGGTGTGTTCGGCAAGATAGAGTCGGCCGGCGAGCAAGAGAAAAATTGTCGTCGGTCGAAGAAAAAGCCGCGGACATGCCGTGACGATCGTACGTTGGCCATTGACTGCCCTAGTTGACGGTTTCTATTTCGAGCTGGCCTAGTTGCGGCGACGAACGGCGTCGTCGACGGCCGCCGCGGCGCGGCGCGGCGTCGTCGCAGCCCCGTTCGCGAGCTTTCGCGACCGCGCCGATTTCAATATTATTCCAGCAACGCGGAGCCGCGGGCCCGGCTTCTCCCGTTCGATATCGCGATCCCCGACGGTGTGCCCCAGCTGGCAAACAATGCCGGGGAACGCGTTCCCGCGTCCCGATGTCCCGCGCCAGACAAACAATCGCTCCTTTTTCCACTCTAGAAACTCCTTTACCGCGGCTCGTTCAGCCGCGACGACAGAAGAAATTAAGCGGCCCCAGCCGGTTCGTCGCGTCCCACGGTCTCGTCGTCGGCCCGACAGAAAAGCGTCCGTCGTCGTTCGAAATCTCGAGCTTCCCGGAATCGTTCGATTTTTTCGTTCGAGCTGCCCGATGTCCGTCGATCTTAGAAATTTAACCGGTTAACTGTGGCGGAGCAAGCGTCGCTGTTAAAATGTTCAGTCGAAAAGACGGCTTTATTTGTATAGAATCAATAATTTTACTAGCAATATTTATTTATTTCACTTAACGTTAACATATAATGCAGAAATAACGAACGACAAACGAAACGAAATAAAACGATGGAGCAACGAGATCTAAATAATTATTATGAACGAACACGGTGTTTAAATTATAAATAACATACTCTATGAAACTATTACAAATTATTACATTATTGTAATTATTAGCAATTTCCGAGCTAGCTAAAAAGAATGCCGAAAAATGTAGCTCCTCGCGCGGCTCCCTTCGAAGACGGATACGTCGAGGCTCAATCGATTGTACAGACCGTCGGAAATTTTTCCCGCGCATCGTACTGCCCTAGATTTAAAGGGCAAGGTCCGGCCTTTTCATCGAGCCGAAACAGATCGATGTACGATTTTTTCCCGACCATTTTAGAGCACGTTGACTGGACGGTAGATATAGTCGACGATGAAATAATTCGAGGTACGGATTCGACGGATTTGCGTGGCTCCCCAGGGCGAGCGCGTGATCGAACAGGAAAGAAGAGGTTAAGTGGGTGAAAGTAGATTGTTCGGCCTTCAAAATGAGCCCGGATAGATCGTCGTCCGATTTTTCTGCGGCCGGGAAGACGCGTTTGGAGAGTAGCCCGTTCTATTGCTTGCCTCACGTGAAACGCATCGGAACAATGGCGGGACCGATCGAGGGAACGTCTCTCTCTCCGTTTCTCTCGTCGGTTCTCGTACAGAACATCGATCCATCGCTCGCATGCCTCTGCTGCCTCTATTCTGCGGCGCTCTTTGCTTCGTTGCACGATCATCGGCGACGATCGTCGATCTCGGACCGGCAGATCGCTCCGTGGGACGATTGAACGCTGTCGAAACGGAGATCGCTCGAATCAAATTTGATCGATCCTATTAAGAAGTTGGTCGTTCAGTAAATATTATTGATCTAACAATAAATAATATTGATTTCTCAATAAATAATATTGATATCTCAATAAATAATTTTAATCTCTCAATAAATAATACTGATGAATAATATTGATTTCTCAATCAATAATTTTAATTTTTCAATAAATAATATTGCTTTCTCAATAAATAATATTGATATCTCCATCAATAATATTGATATCTCAATTAATTGATATTGATATCTCAATAAATAATATTGAAATCTCAGTAAATAATATTGAAATCTCAATCAATAATATTGATACCTCAATAAATAATATTGAAATCTCAATAAATAATATTGATATATCTCAATAGATAATATTGAAATCTCAATAAATAACACTGATTTCTCAATAAATAATATTGAAATCTCAATAAATAATACTGATATCTCAATAGATAATATTGAAATCTCAATAAATAACACTGATTTCTCAATAAATAATATTGATCTCTCAATAAATAATATTGATTTCTCAGTACATATTATTGATCAATATCAGTAAATCTTATTGATCTCTCCGTCAGTAATGCAAACGATCCGCATCAGATGGAAGAATTTATCTCACTGATCAGGAGATTCATTGTGGTGAAACTATGTCAAAAATACTCCACGTTCCCTGGTAAAACGAACGTTCCCCTGTATTATACAAATCTGCGCAGTCTAATAAGCCCGTGTAATTAAACTTCTCGAATTTAGCTGACTGGAAATGTCAGTTTAATTAGGCGAGCTATTAAAAGTCTGAATATGCTTGCAAGGTAGAGACTTCGGAAAAGTATGAACCCTTGTGTGCAAGTGGAGCAATTCATCTGCTAACTTTCAACGTCCTATTGAACGATTAATGAATATTTCTTAATGAATTCTCCTTGGCGAATCCTCCTTGGAAAATTCTCCTTGACCAATTTTTCGTAAAGAATACTCTTCGATGAATTTTCCCCGATGAATCTTGCTTGATGAATTTTCCTTGATGAATTTTGTATGGCGAATTTTCCTTTATGAATCCTGCTTGATGAATTTTCCTTGAGGAATTTTCCTCCAGGGATTCTTCTTGATGAATTTTCCTTGATGAATTCTTTTTGATGAATTTTCCTTGATGAATTCATCTTGATGAATTTTTCTTGATGAATTATTTTGTATCAATTCTTCTTGATGAATTCTTCTTGATGAATTTTCCTTGAAAAATTTTTCTTGATGAATTTTTCTTGATGAATTCTTTTTGATGAATTTTCCTTGATGAATTCATCTTGATGAATTTTTCTTGATGAATTATTTTGTATCAATTCTTCTTGATGAATTCTTCTTGATGAATTTTCCTTGAAAAATTTTTCTTGATGAATTTTTCTTGATGAATTTTCCTTGATGAATTCTTCTTGATGAATTTTCCTTGATAAATTCTTCTTGGTGAATTTTCCACGACGAATTCTTCTCGATGAATTCTGCTTGACGAATCCTTCTTTACGAATTTTTCTCTACGAATTCGTTTCAATGAATCCAGCCCGATGAATCCTTCACAGCGAATTCAACTCGATGAATTTTCCTGGATGAATCCCACTCGCACATTTCCACAAAAACAAAAAAAAGAAAAGAAAACTTCATACACACAACCTCCTCTCGCGGACAATAAACAACATCTCAATCGATCGTTAACGAGCGATTTGCTGATTACACGTCCATGGATCGTCGATCCCGCTTGCATGTCGCACTCTGCACGCACTCTGCTCGCATGTTGACTTCCGCTCCTCTCCCGATCTCCCAGCAGCAGCGCTCTGTCTCAGCACGCACGCGCGTGCCTGATTATTTCGTGATCGGCGCGCAACGAATTCCTTTGTGTGGGCCTCGGTAGAAGCTTGCATGGACAAAATAAAAGAAAAAAAAAAAAGAAAAAAAGGTCGACAGTTTTCCCGCGGCGTCCTCAGAACCGGCGCGAACGCAACGAGAGCAAGCTGGAATCGCACGGAGAAGAAAAACAATTGAGATTTCGAAGGACTTGCGAAGAGATGAGCGTCGGCTGTTTTTCCGCTCGCTCCTCGTTGCGTTCCGCGTTCCGCATACCGCGCGCGGATACAGCTCGCCGAGCAGGCTCGCGGCGTTTCTCGCTCGTAGATCGTTTCCGCTGTTCACACACGCTGCATCCCCTGTTCTCGTCATTCGTCATTTCATTAACCCCGGCGGCTGGTGCGAGAGAGACCTACGAATCGCGAACGCGACAATGATTTTGATCCTGGACGCGTTTCCACGCTCTTCGGTATCCAGAATCCCATGGATCAACGGTCAAAGGTCAACGATAACGATCAAAGCGTTACGTAGAATCATGCGCGATGATATTAGTGCGGCAATATTTCGTCGATTGCTCTATTTTATTTTACCAAATTGTATCGCATTTTTCACCGCGACTCAGCGAAGATTCGCCGGACTTTGTTGCATTTAACGACTTTGCACAAGTAGAATCGATCCTATCGATCCTATATGATCAAACACATCGACTAACGTATCATTCTACGCAACCAAAACATTTGTATCCCTTTCGTGAACTAAATTGCACAGCGAATATAATCACGAATTTCAAATCATTAAAATTGAACACTTATTCGATCTGGCTGTCTTGCACGAAAAACGCTATAAATGACGCAACTATGATCGATCTCGTAATCAAGTACATTCAACAACACGCTGTTCCATGCAATCGAAAATTTGTTATCGCTGTCGCTGACGTAGTTACGAGCAGGAGCGAAGAATTTCTTGATAATTTCGAATTTTCGTTTATCGAAATCTTCTTCGAATAAAATTGTCCTGCGCGACGAACGCTGCGAATAACGCGACTCCGATCGATCTTTATCGTCAACTGGACTCGTCGACGCGCTATTCTACGCAACCAGGAAACTTTGAACGGTCAAAATTTTGCCGGGAATGTACGTAGCCGTCGCGATCGAAATTACAGAGAACGACGCGGGATCCCGGATATTATCGTTGATCGCAGCGACCGTCCGCCGCGGTGCATTAATCTAGTTGATCCGTGGGATCGGGGAGATCCTGACGGATCCCGCAACCGGTTCCTACAGAGCCAAAGAGCCGAGAAACGCGATATCACCGATCGGAATGGGATTCCGTCGAATCGAATTTTGCCGCGTAATCCCGGCAAGAGTGTCTCGCACCGGCCTGCAGCCGATCATGCCGATCCCTCGTTTATGTTGCGTGTTGGTGTTGGTGCAAGGGGCAGGAGATACCGATATACATATGGTACGAGTCGTATCCGACCCACAGTGGCGAGGGTTACGAAGGTCGAGTCTCGAGGGTGAACCCGAATTCACCGTACGGCGTGGCGTCGCTCAACCTGACCGACATCCGCGAGAGCGATCAAGGATGGTACGAGTGCAAGGTCGTCTTCCTCAACAGGTCGCCCAACAGCCACAAGAATGGTACCTGGTTCCACCTGGACGTTCACGGTGAGTAGAACACCCATGTTCGCCCGCATAATCGACGTTCGAACCGCCCCGACGCGCCGCCGTTCGCTTGTACAACCTCGAAGAGGTTCGTCTCTAGCTTCTTGCAAACTTCATATTTTCAGCTGACAATTTTCTCACACGTTCCGCGAGCTTGAACGTGGATGCAGTAATTATTTCGTAATTTTACAATCGGTGGTTTGTTTGTTAAAAATTCGACTAGATTGCTGTTCGAGTAAACCAATATTTTTACCTTCGTACGGATACTTGTGTCGGATACATTGCTGTAGCTTTTTTAAAAGTTGATCTTTCGAGCTGCGAATTTTTCTCTTCATTCCTCAAGGTACGATATAAATGCAGTAATTATATCGTAATTTTACAATCGGTGGTTTGTTTGTTAAAAATTCGACTAGACCGCTGTTTGAGTAAACCGATATTTTCACCTCTATACGAAAACATTTCGCACGATTTTACAAAGGTGTCGAAAACATTGCCGTAGCTTTCTGAAAAATAGATCTATCGAGCCGCGAATTTTTTCTTACATTCTCCAAGATGCGATCTAAATGCAGTAATTATTTCGTAATTTTACGATCGACGCATCGCTCGCAAAAAATACCCGAATCTAGTCCAGCCAAAAATTCTCGAAGTCGCCGCAACAAACACGGCGCATCGCCCGTTGCGGTTCCGTGCCAGTGATTAGTCAGCATCGCGGTGAATAGGCACGGATGCTAATCGCCGGCAATTTACATCGGCGTCGAACGTTCTACGCGATTGATCGGCTTAATCGTGCGATTCTAAATCGGTCCGCCGAGCGATGACCGAGCTGCGGAATCGAGGATCGTTGCGTCGGTGACGCAAGGCCTTAAAAAACAGCCGCAGCACTCCGACCCTATAACGGCGCTCTCTCTCTCTCTCTCTCTCTCTCTCTCTCTGTCTCTCTATTCGTCGCCTCGCGGGATGGAAAATGGAGGCGTGTTCTCGGATCGCGGAGGAAACGAAACAACGGGGTAAAAACGCGAGCCGACGAGAGGAGGGGAAGGGGGGACGCGCGCGGCCCGGTGAATTGAATTCAATTCTTTCGTCGAGCGTCGCGATAAAGTTTTACGCGAGCGCCCCGTCGACGGTGTCGAGAGGTCGTCGAACCGAGAACGATGGTCGAACGTGGAAACAGGGAAAATGCTCGCGAGGAGGACTTATTGCCGCGTTTTGTTCGGCCGTAAACGACGATGAACGGCCCCGGGGAGGAGCAACATTTAGATGGCTTAGGGAACGTCCCCCTTCTCTCCCCCTCGTCCCGGCCACCGTCGTTTCCTGTTCCCGTCAGCCCGCTTTTTCCTCGCAGTTCTGTCTATCCAGGGCTCCTCTCCGTTCCGCCGATGGCCACTACTCGACGACGACGACGAGGACGACGACGTTGACGACGGCGACGACGACGCGGAATGACGAGGTAACGTCACCGGCGAGCGACGATTTCGTCGACTAAGGATTTGCCGACGGCGTCAAAGCCGGAGAACCACTCGGCCAGCGAAAGCGTTCCCACTTCCTTTGTACTTTTTCCTCTAACTCCGCTTGCTCGTTTGCTCGCGTCACACCCGTAAACTGTTGCCCCTGTTTCCGCTCCCACGGCTTTCCTCCTTCTTCTTCTTCTTCTTCTTCTTCTTCTTCTCCTTCTTCTTCTCCTTCTTCTTCTTCACCTCCTTCTTCTTCTTCTTCTCCTCTTCTTCTTCTCCTCTTCTCCTTCGTCATCGTCTTTTTCTTCGTCTTCTGCTTCCTCGAAGCAAACTTTCGGAAAATGCTCGGCAAACCGACGCCGATTCCGCGTTCCGGTCTCATTGACAGATATTCAACCCTCCGCTGTCGCAACGCGTCAAAATCTATCGCATTTCTTTCCCCGGGAAAGCGATATTGTCACGGGAGGATCGAACGAATCGCACGTCGTGCCGTTTTCGTCGCGGATGCAACGATCGCGAAAGATTATTTATATTTATCGCGTGTCTAGTCTTGCGCTTGAACTAAATATTTTATGTTATTTTATTATGTTACATATTTAAATATTGACGGCGGAAGGGCGGATTTCTTTTTCCGTATTCAGGAAATTATTGGAAGGGGGAGGTTATATTTGGAAATCCCCGTCACGTGTCAGACTCGTCGAAGCGCGGCGAGGGTTTGTTTTATTTAGGTTTATGGAAGCCGTCAATATGGCGGGACGATGACTTCGAATTTACAATTATTTTAATTACGATTGTATTTGCAACGATATGAAAAACGGCTGATTTTTGCGCTCCGGATAGCTAGCGTTAACAATTCATTCAGTGTACAGTAAATTCTCTCGAATTGGCGCTGAAATTGTACGCAAAAGTGGATTATTTGGGAAGAGGAGAGCTTTACGGCTCTTTTGATATAATTATTGATAATGAAAACTGTATAAAAAGCTATAAAAAACGCGCCGTGAGGCTCGAATAATTGTATCTCCACTTCCCAAATTGTCCACTTTTGTTTCCAAGCTGAGGGTTAATTAGGGAGAATTAATTGCACTTGTACTAAACGAGATATCGAGTTCTCTAATAAAGGAAGCGATGTTCCAAAATGTTTAAATTGCATTTCCAAATTGTTCGGTCTCGATACGATTGCTAGTTTTCGTGCGAGCCTGTACGACATACGCGTCTCGCACAGGAAGTGTTACCAGCGTTGGGTTAAAGTAACATCGGGACTTCGGATTCTCTCGTTGAAAAAGCTTGCGCAGAAAATATCTGTCGGAAAAGCTGGTCCAAAAAGCTCGTCAATAAAATTCATTCGGATAATTTGTCCCGAAACCTTGTCCAAAAAGCTTATCCAAAAAGCCTAACCAAAAAGCTTACCCAAAAAGCTCCATTCCCGAAGAGAGCGCCTACCATCCCAAAGAAAATAAATTCGCCAGCTGCAAGGAACAAAAATGAACCATCTGCATTGCTATGGAACTTGATTCACGAGGACGCTTCGACCCTTTATTCGAAGGAATCGCAGATCGAAGGGCCGAGGCGATCGGATCGCGCGCGTAAAAACGGTGCACCGCGAGGTCTCAGCTGCGCGTAGAAATGGCGGCGGTCCTTTGTCTCAGTGTCGTCGATGTAGCCTGAAGGGCCGGGCGACGGGATGCGCGTTGGTGTGCGAGGAAAAACGTCCTCGTGGAGGAGCGTCGCGGGTGGTGCGGCGTCTGATCTGAGCGTCCTCGCGTTTCGAGGGCTTGATTGTTCCCTTTAATGCCGTTTCCGCGGTATAATGCACCGTCACCGCAGTCCCTTGTCCGTTCGACGACCCCATAAAAGTCGCCAGGCGTGGTCCCCATCAATCGATGAACGCGCGGTCGGTCATTTCTGGATTTTTCTGGAAAATTAAGAAAAATCGATCGATGTCGCGACGTGTCACCCATTCGATACGATCGCTTCGGGTTTTTCGTTCGCGATTTTTTAAACGGCCGACGATCTGGGTGAAATTGAAATGGTGCAAATTTCTTCGTATAGGATTCTATAAAATCGAAATGCAAGTTCTTTCGTGGGAAAATTATAATTGTCTGCCGAAATTGCGCGATGTTGCATCATTCAAATCATTTCAATAAGATGAAATCGATACGTCGACGTGCCTCGTTTCTTTTAATATTTTTATTATTATTATTCTTTATTATTATTCTTTAAAAATTTAATTATTATATTATATTATATTATATTATATTATATTACATTATATTATATTATATTATATTATATTATATTATATTATATTATATTATATTATATTATATTATATTATATTATATTATATTATATTATATTATATTATATTATATTATATTATATTATATTATATTATATTATATTATATTATATTATATTATATTATATTATATTATATTATATTATATTATATTATATTATATTATATTATATTATATTATATTATATTATATTATATTATATTATATTATATTATATTATATTATATTATATTATATTATATTATATTATATTATATTATATTATATTATATTATATTATATTATATTATATTATATTATATTATATTATATTATATTATATTATATTATATTATATTATATTATATTATATTATATTATATTATATTATATTATATTATATTATATTATATTATATTATATTATATTATATTATATTATATTATATTATATTATATTATATTATATTATATTATATTATATTATATTATATTATATTATATTATATTATATTATATTATATTATATTATATTATATTATATTATATTATATTATATTATATTATATTATATTATATTATATTATATTATATTATATTATATTATATTATATTATATTATATTATATTATATTATATTATATTATATTATATTATATTATATTATATTATATTATATTATATTATATTATATTATATTATATTATATTATATTATATTATATTATATTATATACAATATAATATATATTTATAATTATAATATTTAATATAATATAATATAATATAATCGATAATGTACAGATATTATCGATATATATATATTATTATACATATTCGTTAAAATTATTCTGATTCTTATTAAATCGTCGAATACACTTTCTTGTGTGGGCCCGATTAGAAATCGACGCCCGTTGGTCGCGTTTCGATCCCGGGCTAGGTTCAATGGCGAGACGCAAATATCAGACGTATAATTCCCGGAAAAGTCAAGATGGCCGCCACGCTTCGCTTACGTTTTCGCGCCCCATCCCTTTCGCGTCGACCGCGTCCTTTTAATTAGTTCGCGAACGTCGCACAGAGGTGGTCGATTGACGGCGACGCGTTCCGTTTCTGTTTCCACACGCAGTGCCGCCGAAATTTAGCATCACGCCGGAGGACATGATCTACGTGAACGTGGGGGACGCGATAATACTGAACTGCCAGGCGGAGGGCACGCCGACGCCGGAAATGGTCTGGTACAAGGGCGAGAACGCGGTGCAGCTGTCGAAGTTCATCGGGATATTCAACGACGGCACCGAGCTCAGGATCTCGGAGATCAAGACCGAGGACATCGGGGATTACACGTGCATCGCGCACAACGGCGAGGGCCAGATCAGCCACACGGCCCGCGTCATTATCGCAGGTGAGTGTACAACAATTTTTATTGCGCCCCGAGGCTCCCGGAAATCCCACGGGAAAGGGTGTCTCGCACCCTTCGCGAGCGAAGCTGTTCGATCATTGTGCGACGCGGACGTTCCTTCTCTGACCCGATATTTTCATTCCTGTCGTGCCGTTTCTGTGAAATTAATCATTTACCAATGTCCAAGAAATTTCAATTTAAATAACAAAATTCCGTTATTCGTTCTTCCGATGATCGAAGCAATTTTCACGACGGCTTGAAAGCCAATCAGAGCGATTACGTTAACATGAAAATTGAAATATATGTATATCTAAGGATTTTGCAATTTTTAACTGTAAAAAGTGTATAAGAGTGTCGCTAATAACGTAAAGCGTAATTTTTATTAGGATTAAATAGAAAAAGAATTAGTGTTTTATTTTATTTCTGATAAAAAATTATTATTTCATTACTTTATTTCTAATTTATCTATTCTTTTATTTTTTAGAAATCGACTATATTGATTTGTCAACTGACAGATCTTGTGGCAAAGGTGTGCAATGCGCCTTATGTAAATAAACAATGGATAGCAGTATCGAAATAAAAAATATGAAAAAATAAATACGAAAGAAACAAACTACGATATTAATTCTTTTCGTTTAATTGTAATAAAAATAGCGTGCACCGATTGTGTATACGGTACCGTCGGAAATAATCAAGTTTTCTCAAAGAAAATATTCGCGGTGCTTGAAAAGCCATTCAAGAAGCAATTAAATCGCAATTTAAGCAAAGGTGGAGAAACATGGTTCCGCAAGCAGCCGCGATATTTGAAAGCAGCTTCAAAACACTGGATCCAATTAAAACGCTAGAATGCGCAATAATTTATGCGCGCGGCTTTTATTTGCCATAGAAGCGTCCTAACAACGTGTACAGAAGTTGAATCGTATTCGAAGCATCTCTCGGGTTTTAAAGAACGCCGACTGCATATACATATAGCACATATATATGCATATATAGCAGACGAATCTGTCGTAGTTTATTCGCGAAGCGTGTGCAACCACGTCCTTCGCGGGACATTTCGCAGGACTCGCGTGCCTCTCATAAGTCCGCGACTGTCACATTCTATTCATAACGCTTAATACGACAGCTTTATGATATAAACACCGTATCGTGTGTCATAAAACCGTGCTACGGTATCGGATTAAACCGTCGCGAAATAAAGCAGAATTATCAAGTCTGCCCCGAAACGAAATAACGTAGTCTCTTGCTAAATGAGTTTCTTTCAGGCTCTGCGTCCTCGCCATCTACGGTAATTTCTCGCAGAAATGTCCGCGGAATTGAAACCGCGAATCTTCTAAATCGCGATTCTTCGGGCCTCGCGGGCCGCGTTTTTTCATTGAAACTCGGAGCAGTCGGCAGAAAAAGGTAGCGGCCAGCGTGCCGGTGCATATTAATCCGAATGCATAGTAGTGCTGGAATCAAAACGATGACTTAACTCTTTTATTTGTAATCTTTTGCCACGATTCGGGGGCGATTCGGAGGCGAAGCAATTAGAAAGCAATTCGAAGGCAATTCGAAGGCAATTCTGAAAGGTAATTCGAAGACAATTCGAAGACAATTCAAAGGCAATTCAAAGGCAATTCTCGAAGGCAATTTGAAAGCAATTCTCGAAGGCAATTTGAAGGCAATTCAAAGGCAATTCTCGAAGGCAATTCGAAGGAAATTCTAAGGCATTTCTCCAATGGAATTCGAAGGCAATTCTAAGGCATTTCTCCAATGTAATTCAAAGGCAATTCTCGAAGGCAATTCGAAGGAAATTCTAAGGCATTTCTCCAATGGAATTCGAAGGCAATTCTAAGGCATTTCTCCAATGGAATTCGAAGGCAATTCTAAGGCATTTCTCCAATGTAATTCAAAGGCAATTCTCGAAGGCAATTCGAAGGAAATTCAAAGGCAATTTGAAGGTAATTCGAAAGCAATTCTCGATGGCAGTTCTAAGGCATTTCTCCAATGCAATTCGAAGGAAATTCTAAGGCATTTCTCCAATGGAATTCGAAGGCAATTCTAAGGCATTTCTCCAATGTAATTCAAAGGCAATTCGAAGGCCACATGACACAACTCTAAGGCAACTCAGAGGCCACATGCCAAGATTCGAAGACGAACAAACCAATTTGCATTGTCTCCCGCGAATTCGCGTTGCTTGCAGCATCACACGCTTCACCAACACCGTCAACCCTTTTGCATCGACGTAGCAATAAATTCCAAAGACGTAGGACCAGTACAGAGAAATTCCCAGCGCCCCGAAATTTCGCATTTCCGAGAGAAATTACTGCATTTTTACTAATTATTCGCGAAAATCTATCACACCGTCGACTTGTTTCGCGCGTAAATTTTTCAACGTCGCCAACAAAGTTCTTCGCGCCGGATGCGGAAGTTCCAGGGAGCGAAGGGAGAGCGCGGGGTCAAGAAACTCGGACCGGATTTGGTCAATGTATCCGGATTCCCCGAGGAATCCATCAAAACCGGGCATCCCCTGTTTCGACGGGCGAATTTATACGCGCGCGCGCGCCGATAATTAATGCACGCCGGATCGTTACGATAATTATCGGCCGGGTTATTAGAAGTTATCGGGGTATTTTCGGTAGACGGTAATCGATCGAGCGCCGATAATGAAATTCCGATAACCGCGACGCCGGAAAATACCTCGGCGCGACTCGTCGGCGGTTTTTGTTGGCCTCGTCCATCGGATCCGTGTCGACGACCGATCCGAGAATTTCCACGATCGATCGTCCCTGTGTCGTATCTACTCGTCCGTATTTTCATTATGCCGGAGGATTATACTTTTTTTCATTTTTCTTTTTTTTTTATTCAGCAGTTTTAACCTCTACAAAGGAGTAAATCAATTATTAATATCTGTATACATGTAATACAAAGTAATAGGATATAAAAGTATGTATAATAAGCTTGCAGCGATTGCGCTTTTTGCGCGTCCATGCATCTGGATTTGCAGAATTCATTTTTATTTTAATGTGTTTTAAATTTAATATGTGTTTTATGCGTATGCACAATTTACGATATATTGAAATCAAAATTAATCCTGCAGATCCAGATACACACACACACGCACGCACACATACATACATGTATACGTAAAATGCAGTCGCTGCGATGTTACAATATCTTTTGCTCAATATGTACTGTGAGGTTATGACGTAATTACACTTATCGCTGAATTTATTTATTTTACAATAAATTTATTTTTAAAATACTTTGCTATCCAGACGTTCCATTATCTAATAATTATATGATTTAAATAAATTATTTAATAATAAATTTTGCATCGACAAAATCGACGAAAAATAACATAACGTGTGACAAAAAAAAGCCAAATGTACACGGCATCGAATAAATCACAATTTTGTAGGAATACTACAAGTTCAACATGAATTTTTACAATCAGAAACATCTCAACGACGTCTCAGCTTTCACGTAAAAAATAAAACTGCATCGCTTTATCCGATTGCTAACAAAGTTTCTTTGATTATCGCTGAACTTCTTCGTTTGACCCCGCTGCGCGCCGATTGGCCGGACCGTCGCTCGTCGATCCTCCGCGAGATCGTCGCAGCCGAGAGAACACTGTTATCTCCCCTGTCTGTCCCCGTTACCCTCGATTTTATGGAACTTCTTCAAGTCTCGTTGAACCGAATCGGCCGCGAAACGTCCCCGGTAACGGTACAACTTTCACGTCGCCTTTAATCCCGGAACGTCTTTTCGTCGCGCCCCGTGAAATTGACCGGCCGAGTTTTCACCCCCCCCCCCCCGGGCTTCTCTGTAACTTCCCGCGACCCATATTTTAATTAAGGGGTCCCGGATCGCTTCCGGGTGGCGCCCGGGATCGCGAATTATCGCGCCGTCTTTGCACCGAGAATGCGCCCGCGAGAGGAAATTGCAGAGAAGCGCGACGGGGCGTTTCAGACGCTGAGAAACGCCTATGGAAAATCGTTGGCGTCGCCAGAGATTTAATCTCGACGGTTTTATCAGCTGATATTCGCGTCCCGAAACATCGCTGACGAGATGTTCTGAATCCCGAGCAGATGCTAGAGACGCGCGACGAAAGGGTTTAATTCGTAAGACGCGGATTTTTTGCGTATTTTGTTTGGGAATTGTTTGGAATGCTTTGTCGATGAAACAACTTAGCAAAGGGAGGTTATTTTTTAAAATTCCTATAGTTCGGTAAAATAATTTAGCAAAGAAAAGTAGCAGACTCCTCAAAAATCGCTGAAATAATTAAGACAGGAAAATAGCCAGATTCCTTCAAATTCGCTCAAATAGTTTAGCAAAAAAATGGCAGACTCCGCAAAAATCGCTGAAATAATTAAGATAGGAAAATAGCCAGATTCCTTCAAATTCGCTCAAAATAGTTTAGCAAAAAAATGGCAGACTCCTCAAAATTCGCTAAAACAATTTAGCAAAGTAGTAAATTTCTTGAATATTCATTGCACGAAATTTAGCCAAAGGAAATTTCAAATTTATCAAGTATTGTAGGCCATCCTTAAACGCCAACGTGTATCAAATTCTCGTACATAAAATAGCGACAGTGTCAACCCTTTCATTGCCTGAAAGATTGTACCTATGCGAGAAACTCTGAGCCAAGTTAATCTAATATATGCAAGTTTGAGAAAACAGTTGCACAAATGTAGTAAAATATTATAATTACAATATTCTCGAAGAAGCGCTCTGAGAAATGAAAGTTTTATCCATTAAAAATATTTAGAAAATAAACATTGTTTCAAAAGGAGCAATATTATCGTTGATTGGCACTGTAATGATTAAACAAGTTTCGACAAACAAGCGAAAATTGCAGTGACATTGAAGCAAAAATTGCAGTGACATTGAAGTCGATGTGCAAAGAATGAAGGCAACGTGCAAAGAATGAAATCGATGCACAAAGAATGAAGTCGATGCACAAAGAATGAAATCGATGCACAAAGAATGAAGTCGACGCGCAAAGAATGAAATCGATGCACAAAGAATGAAGTCGACGCGCAAAGAATGAAGTCGATCTGCAATGAATGAAGTCGATGTGCAAAAAATGAAGATTTAGGTGCCTCTCAGAGTATCACGGCGGGAAAATGAATCGACGAGTCGCTGCAGGGGTGTGAGGGGGATGCACACGGGGATGATGAAGACGAATGTTCCCGCGGTTCGCTAACGAACCTTACAAATCTGCGGCGTAAACGAGGGAGGAGAAAAACGCCGATCGCGAGGGTGCGCGAGAACGAGACAAATCACCTTTTAACTTCGCCCTTCGCGGGAAACATCCTAATTGGCCGTGGCACGCCTAACCCCCGGCTACAATTCAAACGGAGACATTTCGCGCATTCGACTCGTCGGCGAATTCCGCTCGGTTTCCGAAATTCCGAGGGTCGGAAGTTCATTTCTTTTCGCAGGGAATTTTCAAAAATTGAGTTCGGTTCGACGATTATTATTTTCCATTGGTTTTGTGCCGAATGTTGTAATTTTCCAAAGATTGCCGAAGAAAAAATCTTCGATTTTCTAAAAAGCTCTCTTAAAGTTAACGATCGGGATTTTCAAAAAATTATTAAAGTCAAAGAGTTAAAGATTAGAATTATCGCGAAAAAGAAGTCGTCAAAAATCGCATAGATCTACGTTCGTAGATCGAAAAGTAGATCGCCGAGAAATCGCCTTAGATCGCTTAGATCACCGAGAAATCGCCTTTGATCGCCGAGAAATCGCCTTAGGTCGCTTAGATCGCTTAGATCGCTTAGATCGCTTAGATCGCTTAGATCGCTTAGATCGGCGAGAAATCGCGGTATAAATTCGCAGTCAATCTCGAGAAAAAAAGTCGACAAAAAATCGACAAAAATCCTAAAGATCATCCTACGTTCCAAAATCGATTTCCAGCGAAAATTCGCAATCGATCTCGAAGAAAAGATCGACAAAGGTTCGAAAGATCTCCGCGGATGCGTTCGCGGCGAGAATCGGCGATCCGGCGAAACGGAGGCCGAGGCGGAAGTTTTTAATTCGACTCGTGAATATTTACCGTGTCGCCGCATCTGAATTCATGCGGAGGCGGGCAGGATTCCCGTGAATTTCATTGGCCCGTTTATCGGGAGGGGCCGCTTTGTTCGCGACGGCGGGCGCGCCGTTTTCAGCGTCGCGGAATCCGCGGCTGCGGTTTCCGAGTCGCGGCGAGGGCGTTCGCGCGAATTCAACCGCGACCCTATCCCCATTGTCTCGCGACGAGACGAGCAGCGGCGACAAAGGCCGCCGAATAATTTTGGCCGTCGGTCTTCTTGATATCGGAATCCGACCTAGAAATCGTTGCCGCTGCGCCGTCGTAAACATTATTGGCTGTGAAGCGCCTCTTTACCACAGGCAATGGCTCGCGTTGCTCTCTACGGCGGAATACGTTGAACGGCGACCCTTCTCTGGTCATAGTTCACTCCGACGAGCGTAAATGATGAGCCGAAGTATCCTTTGTATTGTTTAAAATCGTACAACAATATTTATTACTCGGAATATCGGTTCGGGAATTTTTCAAAACATTTGTCCACTTTTGCGAGGAAAGGGTAGCCTTGTAAGTGAAATGTTGCGAGTGTGTCACTCGGCTGCTGTAAGAGATAATCGAATGGAATAAATTGTAATTAATAGGCACATGTTTACTGTATTTCTTGTGATTTTTTGAAAATTTTCGGGTCGCTATTAAGGGTAGCAAGAAATATTGTTTGTAAGGGTTGATTTTGAAGGCGACGTCGGAAATCGAGATTTTGAAGCAGTTGGGACTTGTAACTTTGTATGCGCGTCTCTTGATTACTATAGAAGATATTCGACTGGAATAAATTGCAAATAATAGCTATATGTTTACTCTATCTCTTATAATTTTACCAAAATTTTCGATCGGCTCTGAAAGGTAGAAAAAAAATGGTGTTTTAAGACTGGATTTTGACGTCGAGATCTGAGAACAGGGTGAACCCCTAACTTCATAAGCATGTTTCTCGATTGCCACGTGAGCTATCCGAACGGAGCAAATTACAAACAACAGGCACACGATTGCAATACGTCGTGCAATTTTTCCGAAATTTTCGGTCGCCTGTCAAGAGTGGAAAAAAATGGCTTCACGGCCTTTTTCGGGGCAACGTTAAAAGTCCCGGGACAGCGCGTCGTTTCGCGTGAATGCGACTGTGATACTCGAGCGACTACTTGGGACGAGCCATCCGGTATATAAAAGTTCCTAAATCGAGAAGATGGCCGTTCCCACGGGACCGCGAGAGCCGCCTTAATTCCCGACGAGTGACGATAGATCGGATTGCAGAAAATACTGGCGGATCCCGGGGAAGAAGTTCGGTCTTTTGTCGGCGGTGATCGATCTCCTCCCATTATACGTCAAGGTATTCGCCCATCCCGCGACGAGAAACCAACCACCCGTCCCACCGTCCTCTTCCATCGGTCGTCGCCCCCCTCTCGAAAGTCGCAAGTTTTAAAATTCTTCGAGTGCGGTCGTGAGAGAGAGAGTCCTCTTGGATATCGACGAGAATATAATGCACCCTGTTGATCCTTTTTACGAAGACTCGCTGCGAAAAGTCGTCCGAGTAAAAGGCGGCTCTTCCCGAGTGTCCGGGGCCATCCTCCGCCCATCCTCCTGCTCTAAAGACACTCCATTCTCCTCGTCCGTTGTTCTCCCACTCCCCCGTCGTCTTCCCTTGCACTCAGTCGATACGAGATGTGCACCGAAAGCTTCGCTAAATTATTAAGAAAAATCATTTGGTCTTCGCTGAAATCCTCGGCGAAGGTACAAATTATAATTAGTAGTAATAATTTGTAGAAATCAATTATTTACTCGGCTAACATTTCACGATTTTAATTCTCTTCGTTTTCGTTCGATTAATTATTTTGCTTTCACCAGAATTCTAAATATTAATTTTAGGTATTAATTTTAAATATTAATTCTAAATATAAATTCCAAATATTAATTTGAAATATTAACAACATTAGAACTATCTGTTTTATTTTTTAATTTTCTTGCCAACACATTTCTTCATCTACCTAACTTAATCAGTCAAATATACTCGGTCAATTAATGCTTCGATATCTACAATAATAATTTCCATAAAAGGAAAAAAAAATCAACTGTTTCATTGCAGTCCAATAATTGCAACTGCAATTCGATGCAGTGCAAACTCGGATTCCGTGGGAAAAAATGTCGAGGTCTCGATTGCGACGCGAAGGGCAACGCGACGGAGGGGGAATCGTCGATCCTTTCGATCGTCGTCGTTCGGTTAAACGGCGGGTCTCTGTCACACGGTGTCCATTTATTTAGCCATCGACGTCGTCCGGGAGCTAGTTTTCGTGTTGCGTAACGGCGACGGTGACAATGCTAACGGTCGAACGATGGAATCTCGTTTCGGGCGCGCGTTCTCGCGCTGGAGCGTCGGCGTCGGCGTCGTTCCAGTTAAAAGCTTCCAGCGGGTCCATCGAGTTTCGGTCAGGATATTGGTTGGCCGGCATATTTCCGGCATCGGCGACGAGAGACGAGCGACGTCGACAGGTCCGTGACGCGGTTAGTTAGCCGTCGATTACTCTCGTCGATGCTCTAACGACGCTCCGTTAGGTTAGCCTGCTTCTTCAAGGACTTATGCTCGTCGGACCGTGGTTCAAATGACAACGAGAACTGCGAATTCTCTCGAATTGACGCTCAGATTGTGCGTCAATTAATCCGTCAATTAATTTGTTAATTCATCCGCCAATTCATCCGGCAATTCATCCGTCAATTCATCTGTCAATTCATCCGTCAATTCATCCGTCAATTAATCGGGCAATTAATTTGTCAATGAATTCGTGAATTAATTCGTCAATTCATCCGTCAATTAATTCATCAATTCATCCGTCAATTCATCCGTCAATTCATCCGTCAATTAATTCGTCAATTCATCCGTCAATTAATTCGTCAATTCATCCGTCAATTTATCCATCAATTAATCCATCAATTAATTCGTCAATTAATCCATCAATTAATCCATCAATTAATCCATCAATTAATTCGTCAATTCATCCGTCAATTAATCGGGCAATTAATTTGTCAATGAATTCGTGAATTAATTCGTCAATTCATCCGTCAATTAATTCGTCAATTTATCCGTCAATTAATTCGTCAATTTATCCGTCAATTAATCCATCAATTAATCCATCAATTAATTCGTCAATTAATCCGTCAATTAATTCGTCAATTAATCCATCAATTAATCCATCAATTAATCCATCAATAAATTCGTCAATTAATCCGTCAATTCATCCAATAATTAATCCGTCAATTCATCCGTCAATCTGAACGTCAATTAGGGAGAATTTACTGTAAATGTTTCGCGCTATTTTCCGTGTCCTCGCAATTTTTCCGTCCGAACTTCGTATCGGATTTATGGCTAAAACGATTTATGGTAATCGACGAGGAATTGACGATCTATGATTAACGAATCGCAGGTGGAGCAGTGATCACCATTCCCCCGACGAACCAGACGAAGCTGGAGGGCGAGAAGGTGCAGTTCTCCTGCGAGGCGAAGGCTCTACCTGGGAACGTGACAGTGCGCTGGTTCCGAGAGGGTGCGCCGGTCAGGGAGGTCTCGGCGTTGGACACGAGGGTGTCGATCAAGGCCGACGGGAGCCTCGTGATCAACCCTGTAAGCGCTGACGATTCCGGCCAATATCTCTGCGAAGTGACCAACGGCATCGGCGATCCGCAGAGCGCCAGCGCTTATCTCAACGTGGAATGTGAGTACTCAGTGATTCGTATTGCTCGATTATTTAATCTTTGTTAACGGCAAATGTAGCGGTCGCAAACTCCGATACCCCTTTCCAGAGAGCTATGATAACCTGACATAATTTTTTCGATATTTATGCTACTTCGTAAAAGTGAAGATTCACCAAATTGTTACGTCATGATCGCTGAATCACTGAAAAATAGAATCGAAGAATTAGCAATTTTTGGACCTCTATAACTTTGTTCAAAAAAATCGTAGAGCATTCCAGTAAAGAGTGAAGTGTTTACTTTGACCTTGTCCTACTCGACATTTTTTTAGAGAGCGGAACGATGATGTGAAACGCGATGATGAGAAGCTAAGATTAGCTTTTTCGAAATTTTGCAAATTCACTGTAATCGAAAACTTGGTGATCTTGGAACTTCTGCAATTTCTTGTAAAAAAAATCGTACGGTATCTTATCCATGCTAGTTTTAAAGGGTGAAGTGTCTACTTTTATACCATCGTACTCGGCATTTTTTTAGAGAGAGACAGAACGGAGTGAGAAGCTAAGATTAGCTTCTTCGAAATTTTGAAACTTCACTGTAATCGAAAACTTGGTGATTTTGGAACTCCTGCAATTTCTTGTAGAAAAAATCATACATCTTATACTCGTTTTAAAGGGTGAAGTTTCTACTTTCACACTACCAAACTCATTTTCCCAATCCTACTTCTTACTGCTGTAAAACAAAGATTCATCCCTCACTGATTTCAGTAGCTGCTGATATTTCTACTCAGAAATTCTACGATTTCGCGCGGCTCTATCGAGCTCGACAAATTTTCTTTCGTATCCGCCTCGACGCGATCTTGCAGAGGAAAGTCTCCCCTGTAAAATGCCTCCTCAAAATCGAATCTGCGATTTTTCCTCGCGGTTTTACGGTGCTTCGAAAGAGGGCCGAGTGAAATGGTTTCCAACGAAACGACGCAGCTTTTCGAACTTTGATTAACAATGTTAATTAATTATTGCAGATCCAGCTAAGGTGACGTTCACACCCACGGTCCAGTACCTGCCATTCCGTCTCGCGGGGGTGGTGCAGTGTTACATAAAAGCGAACCCGCCGCTGCAGTACGTGACGTGGACGAAGGACAAGCGGCTGCTGGAGCCGTACCAAACGAAGGACATCGTGGTGATGAACAACGGCTCGCTGCTGTTCACCAGGGTGAACGAGAACCATCAGGGCAGATACACCTGCACGCCTTATAACGCGCAAGGCACGCAGGGCAGCTCCGGTCCCATGGAGGTTCTGGTGCGAAACCCTCCGGTGTTCACCCTCGAGCCGGAACCGATTTATCAGAAGAAGGTCGGCGAGATGGTCGAGATGCACTGCGACGCTCAGGAGGCGGAGGGCACGCAGAAACCTTCGATCCAGTGGCACAGGGTAGCTTAGCAATAATCGCTAGTATTCGACGTCCTCCGATCATCCAATGATCCAATGATCCAATGATTCAATGATCCAAGATTTATTTCGTTCCTCGGCGAGGTTCAAGCTTCTCAGATTCGCAAGGGTTGAAAATTCAAGGGTACATTCGAAAAATCATAACTCGGCCACTACTACAGATATCGATGCGAAACCACCGCCATTTTGTGCGCAAAAGATGACAGTTTCGTTCAAAAATTATAACATCGAATATCGTATTTAGAACATTTTTATAAACAATATTTTCGATCGTCGAACTTAGGAACGCGGACGATGCTGTACGTTGATCGATTCATATTTTTTTTGATAAAATTGAGAGAGGCGTGTCGATGCGCGATATTTTTTTCTTGAAACTTTCGACTTTCGTGCGCACGATGCCGTTTGTTTCGCGTCGATATCCGTGATGCTGCTCGAGTTACGATTTTTCAAAGAAAGGCATGCTCGGAGAGTTCGGTCCTCAAGCAACTCGGAAACTTCGAACACTATCGAGGAACGAATTAGGGGATCTTGGGAATCCTCGTCGACGGATCTCCGGAGCGACGAGTCTGCCTGCGTTCAATCCCAGAACCGATCTCTAATTCATTGAAATTCGAGTGATACCCGCGATCGTTTCACGCTCGTTTCGCGCTCGGCCGGGAAGAGTTTCGCCGAGCGATCGATTAACGAGCGATTTAAATTGCACGGTTTAATTCCAAGGCACGCGTCCATCGATGAAGCGAGAGAGAGAGAGCGTGTGCCTCTCTTCGGCTCGTTATCAGTTTAACGGTCGGGCTCACGTTGCATCGTGATTTAATTGCGCAGAGAGACGGCGCGTCCATCGAAAGCAATCGGGCCAAGTTCGTCGGCGGTAATTTGACGATCGAGAGCCTACGACGATCGGACTTTGGGTTCTACCAATGCATCGCGTCCAATGAAGTGGCCACCATTTCGGCTTCCACGCAGCTGATCGTCGAGGGGACCCAACCCCACGCGCCTTACAACGTTTCTGGGACTGCGACCGAGTTCTCCGTCACGTTGACGTGGCTTGCGGGCTACTCCGGAGGACCTGACTACAAGCAGGACTACACCATTTGGTAAGACGTGCTGGCCGGTCACTGGAGACTCCTTGGTAACATTCTCGGTCGCCGCATTATGGTAAAAATTAACCTAAGTGGTCATAGAGCAGGCTGAAACACAGTAAGCTGATAAGAAGCAGGATCGCGAAGTGACTTTCGGCAATTTTTCTGTTCGAAACTGTACAAGTTTATTCAAAATCTGTATTCAGGTGTTAAAATAGGTTGTTTTGGGAAGAGATGTGTATTTTTTTTATCCGAAAATATGTAGCTGTTGCAAAGTTATAGCCATTTGATGGATTGATGTACACCAGGTTGAGAAATTCCGCAAGATCGCAAAGTGACATTCGGCAATTTTTCTCTCTGAAACTGAACAAGTTTATTCAAAATCTGTATTCAGGTATTAAAATAGGTTGTTTCAGGAAGGATTACATTTTTTTTTATTTAAAAATATGTAGTTATTGCAAAGTTATGGCCCATTCGGCGGACTGATGTACACCAGGTTGAAGTACCGCAGGATCGTAAAGTGACCTTTGGCAAGGTTATGTCAAGGTTAAATTACGATCCATAGTTCTCGAACGAAGGATTACAAAGTGGACGAAAGTTCTAAAAACGAATTTCCTTTGCGACACACAGGTACAGAGAATCGGGTACGTCGGATTGGGAGACGATCCCGGTGACACCCTCGGGCAGCACAACGGTGACGATCAACAGACTGATACCAGGCACGCTGTACGAGTTCCAGGTGATCGGGAAGAACGCCCTGGGCGATGGGATGCTGAGCAAAGTGATTACCATCAGGACACTTGGTAACAATCGCTGCTGTATCTTACCTTGCGAAGCAGCCAAAGCTTTATCTTATTTCGGGCGGCGGCTGCTTCTGAAAATCTTCGGTCACTAAATCGCAATCCGCGGCCAACAAAACGCGTTGCAAATCGCGTTCCGACGGGAATTTTGTAATTACAGTGGGCTGAAATTAAAGCTAGAACAGTCCGCTTTAAGATAACAAATACTTGCTTCTGTTAAAACGTACTATTTTTACATTTATATACGTTTATTTACGTTTATATACATTTATTTACATTTATCATAAAATAGACTGCGGATCTTGATGCATTCGTGATAATATATGCAGCTGTCAAGAATGCACTCGAACGTGCATCTCGAAACGTTAAATCTACCGTCGCCAGTCAAACGACCGGTTTTGCATTTTTTATTTCATAATTATTGAAGCAACGCGAAGCTGCTTTCGTTTAAAAATTGTCGAATAGATTTCTTTATTCATGCACACGGTGTTATAAAAAATTGCGAAAAATTTGAATAAATTGTATCGTGTACTTTTATCTAGGCAATTTATGTTAATTCGCGTTACGTTGGCGTTTGTACAAATTAATTGTATTATCATCCTGCGTTTCATCAGACGAGATTATCCGATCGCAAGAAATCTGTTCTTGTTTCCATGAAGATCCGCGGTCTAATTATTAATCGATTAAAATATAGCAGAAATACGGTGAAATACCGGTCGAAATGATCGCAGATCAGTGTCAGCGAATTTTTCGGATTCGCGTTATCGAACAGAGTTTCGACGAACGAGACCGCACGAGAAGAGTCTGTCGAGGCTCCGATCGCACAAAATTCCGGAATTCTCGATCCCGCGTCGTTGCGTACTTCGTAGCAAACGACCATAATCTACTAACGTACGACTCCCTTATGCGAATGCTGCCCTCTGTCCCCCTCGGTTCTCGAAGACGTGGCACTGACACACTCGGGAACACCATCATCGAGCGCCGGTCAAGCTGCGGCGACGGATCAAAGCGGTAAGCCGATCGACAAGGATATCATAGCGAATTAATCTCGATCTCGATCTCGATCCGGGGGGAGCGAGCGCTTTGAGGGGGAAACAGAAAGGAGAAAATATATATACGTTTATATGTAGGAGTCGAAGGTTAATGACCTCCGAAATCACAGCATTTAAGCATCGCGATCTAAGGTTCGCGATTTAAGATTCGCGATCTAAGGTTCGCGATTTAAGATTCGCGATCTATGGTTCGCGATCTAAGTATCGCGATTTAAAGTTCGCGATCTAAGGTTTGCGATATAAGATTCGCGATCTAAGCTTCGCGATCTAAGGTTCGCGATCTAAGCTTCGCGATCTAAGCTTCGCGATCTAAGTTTCGCGATCTATATATCACGATTTATACATCGTGATCTAAGCTTCGCGACTTATGCTTCGCGATTTAAGCTTCGCAATCTATACATCGTGATCTAAGCTTTGTGATCTAAGCTTCGCGATCTATATATCCCGATCTATATATCACGATCTATATATCACGATCTATACATCGTGACCTAAGCTTCGCAACTTATACATCGTGATTTAAGCTTCGCGACTTATACATTGTGATTTAAGCTTCGCAATCTATACATCGTGATCCAAGCTTCGCGATCTAAGCTTTGTGATCTAAGCTTCGCGATCTATATATCACGATCTATATATCACAATCCATATATCACGATCTATATATCACGATCTATACATCGTGACCTAAGCTTCGCGATCAATACATAGTGATCTAAGCCTCGCGATCAATACATCGTGATCTAAACATCACAACGCACCAATAAAGGGATGCGCTCGCAGGGCTCTGGGGTTGGGGGGGGGGGGGGCTTAAAAAACGCGATGAACGTCGACACGCAATTTTTTGATCACGCTCACGAATACGATTACGATTCACGAACACGTCTACGATCACAATCACGATCACGATCACGGTTTTCGATACGGGATTATGTTATAACGAACACGGCTTACGTACACGGTTCACGGCTTCTTCGGCATATGATTACGAGAACGATTGTACATTGTTTTACCGTCTTTTCGTATTGTATTTTGTGTGCGTCCTTGTTTAACAATAAATAGAATAGTTAACCAAAACACACAATCTTCGCATAAATATATGTATATACATACATATATCGGAAGCATTGAGAAACAACTCGAGCGCCGGGACAAAGAGACCCGTGGTTCGGCCGGGAATCAAAGGAACGATCGAGCATAAAACCGTCCGGTTTAACAAAGAGCGACGTTTCGAACGTCGCTCCGTAAAGATGTCCGGGATCCGTTGGTCTTTTCTATGGATCCCGCGGAGAAGCGGTCCGGAACGAGGAACCTCGGGAACGTTTTCGCGCAGCTCATGGCCGAGATGATAAAACAATGGAAAAGAAACGATCGATAACCAAAGTTCGTTTCACCGGTGCCTCCTGTGTTACCGTTTGGTTTTTTATCTTCCGCGTGCTCGTTCTTCTCGGGATTGCGAACGAAAAAAAGTGTGCCGTCCTGTCGGAAAAATGGCGCTCCTTTTATCACGGAAAAAGGAAAGATCGTGTCGCGTCCGCGACGAGGAAACGCGTCGTGGGAGCCGCGAACAGATTCTCCCGAAGTGAAATTATTTCGCGTTCGCGAAGTTCAACGTCGAGCATCCGCTCCAGCTAAAATATCGCCCGAGTCGCATTGATCTAATTTTTGCCGACAATAGAGAATTAAAGTAGCCCTCGATTTGTCGAACATTTCGCGAGTTTTTCAGTCCGGATCGTGGCCGCGACGATTCCGTGGAGAGTTTCGAAGTCGCGCGAAGCTCTCCGTCGAGGGAATCGAGAGGAACGCAAGGAGAGAGGAGAGCCTGGAGAGCCGAGAGAGACAGAGAGATAGAGAAAGTGGGAGAGGAAGAAGGCTGGGGGAGAGAAAGAGAGAACGAAGACTTCCGCGGCGACTTATCGTATCGGGAAACCCATCGAGCCGTTCATTCTGTTTCCGCTTTTATTTCCTTCCCTCGAATCCGCCGGTTCATTGCCCTCCATTTGTACACGCGCGCGCGCGCGCGCTCCCTCGATTTTTCCTGCAAGCAGACCCGCGCGCCGCGGCTTTTTATCCGGTCCCGATGCGAGCCTACCGATCCCTCCACTCACCCCCCGGGCCACCGTCGTAAATCTCGATCCCGGTGAATCTTGATTCAGTACAGCTGTGCCGGCCGAGTAATCCCGCGAGATCGCGGAACGTGGCCCATTTTCGCGGCATTTCCATATTAATAACCCGTCAGGGTCAGAGGCCGCTAACAAACCGTGAACCCTTCATTTTTACAGGATATTTCCGCACGCCTCTGTCGCGCTTCGGATAGCGATTTCTTCGTGCGTCGATTTTTGCGAAATTCCGTTAGACTGAAACAATTGGACAAAAAATTCTCAGAAGCGATCTGGAAATATGATGTCATTGAAAATCATTCGGCTTCTTCTTTTTTATTAAGACGGCCCCAAAGAGAAATAATTGTTGGACAGATCACGCGGATCTTCGTTCAGAATTAAAAACACTAAGCTTATAAGTTTTTATACACTGCTTTGTAAATGTAATAAAATGATTAAAAATAAATATAGAGAGACGATTAAAAATGAAATATAATAATATAATAATTAGACAGGTCGCGCAGACGTTCATCCAGAATCAAAATCGTTCAACTTATAATTTCTGATACGCCGTATAAAAAGTATAATAAAATGATTAAAAATAGATATAGACGATTAAAAATAAAATATAATGGCACAATAATTAAACAGATTATGCAGATACTCGTCCAGAATTAAGATCACTGAACTAGTATTTCTTGCAACTGCCCCAAAAGTATAATAACACATAGACGATTAAAAATAAAATATAACAATACAATAATTATACAGATCGCGCGCGCGCGCGCGCAGACATTTGTCCAAAATAATGACGAATCATCGCCTAAAAATAAATATAATCTAAATATAATCAACATCCACAGAGCTTCTCGTCCACGATAAAAATCCTTTGTCTTGGATTTCTCAAGATTTATTCCACCATAAAGAAAAGACCACGATCTAAAATTCCCAACATCGATCGCAAACAAAATAGTTCTAAATCGTTAAAAATTCCGATCTCCCTCGGCCGACGTGTTCGAACACTTAGGTGTGCCGGAGTGTATACATATACAGCACATGTTCCATCGACGGTACTTCTTTTCCCCGCGCTTCCATTTCTGGGCTTTTTTCCGTGCTCCATCCGTCGCCTGGCCACGCATCACCGGCCTCGAAACTCGTTAGCCTGCCTCGAGTAACGCGATTACAGCCAGCTTAACGAGAATTCCGGTGGATCGGATTCGCGAGGATCTCCTACGGTGGTACCGTCCAACGGGTCTCCCTGCGACCCGTTATTACGACACCCGGCAGGAGGGCGCGCACCCACCGCCCACGGCTATCCCCGACACACCCGCCCCATCCAACGATATATTTCCTCAGCAGAGTTTCTCACATCGCCGTTTTTCGTTTGTTTTCTCTCGTTTCAGACATCTTAGATTATAATACCCTTGTCCTACCGACCGATTCAACAGGCAACCCTGTCTACCCGCCGATCATGCGCCCCAAAGGTATCATTTTTTCGCATTTGTTTTGTTTTGCATCGTTTGTAATTTTTGTGGTTCATTTGTAATTTTTGTAGTTCATTTACAATTTTCGTAATTCGTTTGTGATTTTTGTTATTCATCTGTAATTATTCATAATTCATTTTTGATCAGCGTAATTCGTTTGTGATTTTCGTAGTTCATTCGCGATTTTCGTAATTTATTCGTGACTTTAATAATTAATCTATGATTTTAATAATTAGTTTGTGATTTTAACAGTTAGTTTGTGATTTTAACAATTAGTTCGTGATTTTGACAATTAGTTTGTCATTTTCATAATTCATTTGTGACTTTCTCAGTTCATTTGTAATTTTCGTAACTCATTTGTGATTTTCATAATTCGTTTGTAACTTTCATAATTTATTTGTGACTTCTATAATTTATTTGTGACTTCTATAATTTATTTGTAACTTCTATAATTTATTTGTGACTTCTATAATTTATTTGTGACTTCTATAATTTATTTGTGACCTTCATAATTTATTTGTGACTTCTATAATTTATTTGTGACCTTCATAATTTATTTGTGATCTTCTCAGTTCATTTGCAATGTTCGTAATTCATTTGTGATTAACATCGTTGATTTGCGACCATCAGTTTTATTCATCAATTTTATTCGTTCATATTATTCTTTAATTTCTCATTCGATAATTGATCAAACAAACGTAGAAGCGTTTAAATATTCAAGGACAGAGTGTCACCCTCTCCGCAAATCACCCATGTTCATTACATTTGCAGAAACGAATCCCTTCATCGATATTCTTTTCTACTAATTTCTCTCCTCATTTCTTTCCTAATTTCTGTCCTCATTTCTTTCCGAATTTCATTACTAATTAACACCATACGATATCTTTCGAAGTTACGTTATTTCGTCGTCCTCGATCATTAACAATAACGCATCCAGCGAAAGACCATTAATATCCACCGTACGCCAACGTTTAATCCAATGATCGGGTATCGAGTTCGAATTTTCCATCGACTCGAAAGGAATTAATATTGCAGGACGGTGGAGAAGGAGGAGGAGGAGGAGGAGGAGGTGAAGCTTTCGTTTGTAACAGCGGCGATACCGCGATGCGAACGCAGCAGAGTCGTTCCGCGGTAGTTGCGAAACTTTAGCCAGTTAATTGGAAACACTCGACCCGTAGAGCAGAGTAGTCCCGATTCCATCGAGGTTTTGCGAGCTGCCGGGAAAAGAAAGCGCCGACCGAAGCTCTCTCTCCCTCTCTCTCTCGTAGAGCCGCCCCCCGGTGCAATGATTTCGAAATTTCGTGCGCCGAGGTACGTGGCTCGGGTGTTAAATAACGCCGCGTTCGCGCGGTCTCGCATCCATTAATTCGACACGCGATTTTATTCGCGATATTCGACGGCTCGTTCCGACGGAAAGCCGCAGAGCTACGGAAAAACATCGAATCGGTAATGAATCGGGGAGGGATGGGGGAGGAGGGAGAACGGCGACGGCGTCGAAGCTTTTGTAGCCGTGAGACTGAACCTCGTGCGAACAAGGCAATCCGCGCCGATGCTTCGAGCACCATCCAGCCCCGGAGTGTTTGTCGGGGAATTAAAACGACAGGGTTCGCGTGTTTAGAATAATAGTGTTAATATAACGAAAGCGGGACGCAGCCGATATATAATCGCGGAACGGGAAACACCGAGCGCGTACGAAATTTTCATTTGTAATTAAATATTGTCGCTCGCTAATGGTTGGATAAGTACAGTCGTTGGCGGAGGCCGATGGAATTGGAGCGAGAGATTTTAACGGGGAAATTAGTCGAGAGTGGTTTACGGTCGGACGAGTAGAATGAATACCCGTTCTGGTCGGGCGAGTAGAATAAGTACGCGTCGTTCTGGTCAGGCAAGTAGAATAAGTAGTTGTTCTGGTCAGGCAAGTAGAATAAGTAGTTGTTCCGGTCAGGCAAGTAGAATAAGTAGTTGTTCTGGTCAGACAAGTAGAGTAAGTAATAGTTGTTCTGATCAGTCAAGTAGAATAAGTACTCGTCGTCTTGGTTAAACAAGTAGAATTAGTAGTCGTCGTCTTAGTCAGACAAGTAGAATGAGTACTCGTTCTGGTCAGACAAGTAGAGTAAGTACTCGTAGTCCTGGTCAGACAAGTAGAATAAATACTCATCGCCCTGGTCGGTCAAGTAGAATAACTACTCATTCTGATCAGACAAGTGGAATAAATACTCGTTCTAGTCAGATAAGTAGAATAAATACTCGTTCTGGTCAGACAAGTAGAATAATTCTGGTCAGACAAGTAGAATAAGTACCCAATCTGATCAGACAAGTGAAGCAAGTACACATCCTGGTCAGACAAGTAGAGAACGTCCATCGCAAGGGAAACATAAGTGGAACAGGAATAACCTAGACAAGACAAGTAGATTAGGGACGTGTTCTTTTTATCAGACAAATGGAGTAGAAATGGTTTATGGTCGGATAAGTAGAGTAAGTACGGTAGATTGGTCGGACAAATGGAATAAGTACAGCATGTATGTCCCAGCAAGTAGCTTAGGGCCATTATACTAACGAGACTAGTAGATTAGGGAGATAATAAGGCTGGACAAGTGAGATAGAAGTGATGAATGGCAAGACAAGTAGATTAAGGACAATCTGCAGTACGACAAGTGGAATAGGGTCAATCTGTAGTAGGACATGTAGGATGGGTACTTTGAAGCGATCGGTTAAGTGGATTAGATGATCCTGTGGTCAGACAAGTGAAATATTAGGACGATTGACATTGTTTTAATTTTATTATTATTTGAGGAGGACGATGTAGTTTCAATGTTAATTGTCATCGATCGATTGTTCTGTTATTTCGATGCAACAGAATTCGATGTAACGAAATTCGATGCAACAAAATTTAACGCAACAGAATTCGATGCAACAGAATTTAATGCAACAGAATTCGATGTGATCGAGAATCATACTTTTAAAAATTGTATTCTGGATAAAAATTTTAGCCTAGAGTTATGACTTCTTGTCTGTCATTCGTCTTGCTATTTCTATATCTTTATTTTTAAATCTTAAATAAATATAATTGATATTTTATTAAGTACGAATGTCCGTCCACTCTTTAGAGACTGATTTTAAAAATAAATATATGAATAATTTATATCGTGTACAAATCACAGATATTCGAAGACCTTCTAGTCTTTACGACTGTAAAAAAAAAGAAAAGAAACTGTGACATATAAACAGCAACCGCGATAAAAACAAAATGCTAGCAATTCGGCCGAACGACACCGCGTCGAGGAATAAGTTAAAAAAAAATGAATCGATTCGTCGGAATTGGGACGAACGCGGATCCCGTAACGTGGTCGATAAGGGTGAACCAGATTCGTGAGGGTCAACGATAATCGTGTGTCCGAAATAATCGTGCCGGAAATGTCGCGTCTCGTCGGAGCGGCGAACGCGGAAAAATAGAGAGTGAGAGGAGAGGAGCCGTCGTAAGCGGCGGGGCCGACGGCGAAGAATTTCCATTGGCCGGGCCGCGAATTAATTGCAGCCACTCGTCACGGCGCGCCGTTGAAAAGCTTTTCGCGGGCACAATAACCGGGTTTTCTGTTATTCGCGTTACTTCCAGGCGCGTCGTCGCCGCCGCCGCCGCCGCCTCCATCGGGAAACCATTTATATTTCGATGGGAACGAGGGTAGGCGGGGGCGGGGAGGGGGCCAGCACGCGTACACGGGAAAAGAGACAGAGGCGGTCCGTCGGCCGCGGTTTTCACGGTCTTGCATCCCCTAATGCAGCCGCGTTACGTGCAACGGGGAGCCACCGCTGTGTGCGGGAACCGGCAATTTATTCGACGCGACGTGCACGCCCGTGGAAATGAAGTTAACAAATACGGACACTGTAAATACCGCAGAAACGATCGCAGAAATATAGGCCGTTCCCGACCGGCTGTATGTTTTTCCATCGTGAAAATTTATCGTATTGTGCCGGGCTATTGTTCCACGTTCGCAAATAATCGCGAATATTGCGAGCAGGGAAATTCAACGTAACGAGAGCAGCGGCTTCGCGTTTACCTATCGCTGCATTTTATTCTGCCTTTTGTCTCTTCCCTCTCACTATCCCCCTCACCCCCCCTCTCTCTCTCCCTCGCTCTCCGTTTTTCCGAATCTCGTGCTTTTTCGTGATTTCATTTCACGGCACAATTTGCGAACTCTGTTACTCCTCGAGAACTACAAAATCCGACTTGTTGAAGCTACGCGCAGTTGTTCGAACGTGTTTAAACTGCATTCGGTAATTTGTTTGCGATTACATCGATTTAAATTATTACCGCGAGCTTTCTGATTGAAAAGGCGCTCGTATATTTTCGCAGTCGTTTTTATGATTTGTGTGTTCTTTTGTGTCGTTTATTATCGCGTAATCAGCACGGATGCAGTTGTTGTTCGGATTCTGTAAAATCATTCTTCGCCTTGATTGTATGAAGTGAGGAAACAGTGTTCACGAAGTTGGTGCAACAGAATTTTGATGCAAGAGAATTTTGATATAACGGAATTTCGATGCAACAGAATTTCGATGCAATAGAATTCGATGCAACAGAATTTAATGCATCAGAATTTAATGCATCAGAATTTAATGCAACAGAATTTAATGCAACAGAATTTAATGCAACGGAATTCGATGAAACAAAATTCGATGCAACAGAATTCGATGCAATAGAATTCTATGCAACAGAATTTAATACAACAAAATTCGATGCAACAGAATTCGATGCTATAGAATTCTATGCAACAGAATTTAATACAAAAAAATTTAATACAACAAAATTCGATGCAACAAAATCCGATGCAACAGAATTCGATGCAATAGAATTCTATGCAACAGAATTTAATACAACAAAATTTAATACAACAAAATTCGATGCAACAGAATTTAACGTAACAGAATTTAACGTAACAGAATTTAACGTAACAGAATTTAATGCAACAGAATTCGATGCAACAGAATTTAATGCAACAACGTACACTCGCCGATTCCATTTTATTTGCCTAAAGAAATTATCCGAGAGAAATGAATTCGCAAATATGCACAAAATGCTCCAAAATAATTACCGATAAACTAGTCTCCATTAAAAATCGACCGACATTCGTGCAACGTACAAGAATTCGAATCTCGAACGCGCGGCAATCGGCCGCATAATTTAGCCGATGGGGATCGTTCAGACGCGATTTAATTGAGAAGAAGACGCTGCTTCGAAAGAGCAACAGCGACAAATAAATCTCGGCGGCAACGTTAGCCAGCCGTTCGCACCGAAACGACAGCCAACCGTGGAATCATGTTGATGCAACTGCTCGATGGAATCGGAGACGCGTGAGGTCATCTTCAGCCGTCACCACTTGCATGTATAATGTTACCGACCTAACTGCTTCCGGCATACATTCGTTAGCCTTATTAATGGCCGTAACGTCAATCCCGTAGCGACGGTGTTTCCCCCGTAACGGTAGAATCGCGCCGACGTATCCGAGGAATCCCTAACGACCTTATGCAGATCCGCTGTCTGTCTAAGGGCAGTCGGCGCTGACAGATCGTTCACGAAATGGTCCGTAATATCTCGTGAAAGAGTAACCAAAATTCGGAGGAAATCGTATTGAGGTCGCGTGGACGGAATTTGCGCGATTCTGAAATAAATCTTTCGCGGAACGCGATCTTTCGAAACGCGTTCGAAGTAACTCGAGACTTTTTGCATAGAATGCAGTGCGATTAAATTCTGGTATCATTTTTTCACCGATCATACTCGAAACGTTGCGAATGTCTCAAGAGAAGAGTAATCGGGAAGCAAAGAAAAATGTGTTGAAGCGACATAAATCGCTCGGTAAAAATAATAGCAACTTTTGATTGAAACATTATTCAAGCAACGAGAGGAACTTCTGGCCAAGGATTCTCTCTTCCGTTAGTTCGCGTGGCTTCGATACGTTCTCCCTCGCGATTTACAAACGAGTTGTTTCCCTTAATTAATGGGGGCACGTCAACGTAAATCGGAATTCAGGATCGCGGAATACTCATCTCCAGCTTCGCAATTTATTTCGTTATCGGTTTCCGATGTTCCCTTTTGATCGACGACAGGTAAAAAGTTTCTGCGGTCGCAGGATTTACCTAGATAGCGGGTAAGACGCGAAAGAATTCTCTCTTCTCTCTCTCTCTCTCTCTGTCTCTCTCTTTTTTATCTCTTTTTTCTTTCTCTTTTTTGCTCCCTCTCTTTCTCTCTTTCTTTCTTGCTCTCTTGCAGTCTTGCTCTCTTGCTCTCTTTCTCTCTTTCTCTCTTGCTCTCTTTCTCTCTTGCTCTCTTTCTCTCTTTCTCTCTTACTCTCTTACTCTCTTGCTCTCTTGCTCTCTTGCTCTCTTGCTCTCTTGCTATCTTTCTCTCTTGCTATCTTGCTCTCTTGCTCTCTTGCTGTCTCTTCTTCTCCTTTTTTCTCTCTCTCTCCTTTCTTTCTCTCTGTCTCTCTTTCTCTTTCTCTTTGTCTCCCTCTCTCCCCCCTCTTCGAGAGTAGCACTCTAGACTATCTCTATCTCTCTGGGAACGGTAAGGTCGTCGACTCAGCTAATACGATTTTAAATCGTCAGGACCAAAGCCAGGTCCTCCGAAGAATCTCACGGTGACAGAGATCAGTAATGGTTTCCTGATAACCTGGCAAGCACCCGTGGAACGGAACCACCTAATTCAGTACTATACCATTAAGTACAAGACGGACGGACCCTGGAAAACGCTCAACAAGGGACAAATCCGACCCGAGGAAACCAGCTATTTGGGTAAGTCCGACATTTCTTCATTTCTTACGTCAATAACGAAGAGACTGTTAATCTTTTTGCAAACTAAAAATTTCTTGAAGGAGATTATTTGACTTCGAATAATTTTAACAAAACTTTTGAATGGTGTATTTATTTTCTCGAACTCGGAGAATTTTTTCCGACTACTTACAAAGAGATACATCTGTCGAAGAAAATATAAAATGACGGAAGATTGGAAATAATTAGTCCTGTGGTGTTCTATATTAGTATTAATAATATTAGTAATATTAGTAATACTAATAATATTAATTAATATTAGTAATATTAGTAATACTAATAATATTAATTAATATTAGTAATATTAGTAATACTAATAATATTAATTAATATTAGTAATATTAGTAATACTAATAATATTAATTAATATTAGTAATATTAGTAATACTAATAATATTAATTAATATTAGTAATATTAGTAATACTAATAATATTAATTAATATTAGTAATATTAGTAATACTAATAATATTAATTAATATTAGTAATATTAGTAATACTAATAATATTAATTAATATTAGTAATATTAGTAATACTAATAATATTAATTAATATTAGTAATATTAGTAATACTAATAATATTAATTAATATTAGTAATATTAGTAATACTAATAATATTAATTAATATTAGTAATATTAGTAATACTAATAATATTAATTAATATTAGTAATATTAGTAATACTAATAATATTAATTAATATTAGTAATATTAGTAATACTAATAATATTAATTAATATTAGTAATATTAGTAATACTAATAATATTAATTAATATTAGTAATATTAGTAATACTAATAATATTAATTAATATTAGTAATATTAGTAATACTAATAATATTAATTAATATTAGTAATATTAGTAATACTAATAATATTAATTAATATTAGTAATATTAGTAATACTAATAATATTAATTAATATTAGTAATATTAGTAATACTAATAATATTAATTAATATTAGTAATATTAGTAATACTAATAATATTAATTAATATTAGTAATATTAGTAATAAAAATTAGTATCAGTAATATTAGTAATATCGATTAGTATTAGTAATATTAGTGATATTAACGTTTACCATTGAAACAGAAATAATTTTGAGAAAAAATGAAGGTCCAATTGTCGCGACCAATGGAGGAGGATAAAGGCACGATTGATCAAGGTGTGAACAAATTCTCTGTTCCATGCTCACCGATTGCAGTGAAGAATCTGGTCGGTGGTAGGACCTATTATTTCCAAGTGTTCGCGAATTCGGCGACGAACTACGGCGCGAGCGAGCAGGTGAAATTTCCTGTGCCGGCACGCGTCAAGCACAAGGCGATCACCGCGGGCGTGGTCGGTGGTATATTATTCTTCATCGTCGCGATCATCCTGAGTATATGCGCGGTGAAGATATGCAATAAGCGGAAGAGACGAAAACAGGAGAAAGGTAGGGTACCCGGGACAACCCCGTTGTCCCCGGCCGTCGCCGAGATTTATCATCAAGTCTGGCCCGCACCTGGGCTCTGGGTCGCCGGACGCTTCCTTCCTGAACACCCCATCGACGCCTACACTTTCACCTGAAAATCAAAATTTTATTTCTAAAAGATTAACCAAATTTTGGGGATATTAATATGTTGTTACTAATTATTGTTACAATTATCAAAGAAGGTTATGTCCTTGTAAAAATATATTATATTGAATAACCTCTTTTGCAAGGTTATGTCACGTTCTAGCAGTGTAGTCGTAGACTATGAATTCCACAGAGCGTTGACCACAAGCGAAGAATTAAATATTAATAATAATTAGAGAAACCTTGCAATCTTTTTCCCCGTTGTAATTTTTATAAAATAAATATTGGCGTGATTAAAAATTGTCCAATGAACTGAGCTTCTGATTTACGTCATGGAATTCGGATTTCCATTACGGAATTCTAATTTCCATTACGGAATTGCAATTTCCATTACAGCATTTTCATTTCCATTACGGAATTCTAATTTCTATTACGGAATTTTAATTTCTATTACGGAATTTTATTCTCCATCGTTGAATTTTAATTTCAATTACGGAATTTTAATTTCCATCGTAGAATTTTATTTTCCATCGTGGAATATTAATTTCCATTACGGAATTTTATTTTCCATCTTGGAATATTAAATTCCATTACGGAATTCTAATTTACATTGGGGAATTTTGATTTCCATTATGGAATTCTAATTTCCATTATTGAATTCTAATTTCCATTACGGAATTCTAATGTACATTATTGAATTCTAATTTCCATTACGGAATTCTAATTTCCATTCCGGAATTCTAATTTCCATCAGAAAAATGTCGAATCTCGTGGAATCTTCGCTTCCATTGCCGAGTCCCGATTAGAGAATTTTGATTTCTGGTTCGAAGTGCGACGGCCCCGATCGATCGTGGCCAAGATGGGGGTGGTTTTCGCGAAGGAGGCGACGTGTCGACCAGGTAACGCAGGGGCCGGGCGAGCGCCTGTCCGTTCGAACACCTGTAATCCAGTTAACATAATTTTGTAACATTGTAGAACTGCTTTCAGCGTATAGTATGGTGTCTTGCCGGGTGACCGACGCCAGGAACGGCGCAGGGCAGGGGCCCCAGGGAACAGTGCCTTTGAAAAAGTGAGTGTCAATATCACCGGCTGGTTTACGTTTCCACTCATACAGGTTTTTCCGACTCATCTAAAATCTCTCGATCCCCGGCCCCGCCGTCCCGGGTGGAGGCCTGGGATCGTTCGAGGATTAATGCCAGAATCGAGGACGTAGACCGAGGAGGTACCATCTGCTGTCTGTCTGCCGTGGATCCCGCGAATCCAAACTGGTCTCTTTGTTCGCGATACGAGCGCGAACTATTTGTCGCTCGCGTGTTCCGTTTCCGCGTAGACGAACGCTCCCAGATTATTTATTGGCCAACAAGAGAAAAGAACACGGGGGCAACGGCAGATGAGACCTCGAAGAGATATATACATCACTTAGGTTTAGCCAGAGCTAGCAATTAAGTCCACTCCACCCCCTCTTACGAGCATTAGGCGACCGAAGCACCGCAAGCATTTACGAAACCTCTCACGAGTAATCTATAGCTGACAAAATGTTCGAGATAATTATATATATATAAATACGTGTGCACAGGGCGAGCCGATCATGCAGTTGCCGAATCGTTCCTACGCCATTGAGTGCATCGATTTTTCAGGTTTCTTGATTCGTTGGAAAAGAATAATCGCTCAATATTCACAGCTTCATTTCATTTATTATTATTTCTAACAGTGAAAATTCGAAGAACGATTTCAAGAAGAGAAAGCTAGGTTCATGGTTGTTAATTAATTAGAGCAGAGAATAATCCTATTGGGAGTATCGACAATTTTTCTGTTCTTCCGAAAACAGTCAGTTTTATTTTCGATAACTGAGAAACAGATTCTTCGAAAGTTAACAATTTAGGAAATATTTTTAAGAAGAAAAATTGACGTCTGTCGCTGTGTTCTTAATTAATTAAAATAGAGAATAATATCACTTGGGAGTATAGAAAATTTGTCTACTCACCCAAAATCACTCAATTTTATTTTCTATACTCGAGAAATAAATTCTCCTAATATTAACAGTTCTCAAAATAATTTCAAGAAGAAAAAATTAACGTTCGTCGCTGTTCTTAATTAATTAAAACACAGAATAATCACTTGGCAGTATAGAAAATTTCTCTGCTCACCCAAAAAATCACTCGATTTTATTTTCTATACTTGAGAAATAAATTCCAGAATTTCAAGAAGAAAAATTAACGTTCGTCGCTGTTCTTAATTAATTAAAACACAGAATAATCACTTGGCAGTATAGAAAATTTCTCTGCTCACCCAAAAAATCACTCGATTTTATTTTCTATACTTGAGAAATAAATTCCAGAATTTCAAGAAGAAAAATTAACGTTCGTCGCTGTTCTTAATTAATTAAAACACAGAATAATCACTTAGGACTAAAAAATTTCTCTGCTCACCTAAAATCACTCAGTTTTATTTTCTATACTTGAGGTTAAACAGATTCTCCTAAAATTAACAATTAAAAAAATTATTCCAGAATTGAAAAAATTGTTCGTCCCTGTTCTTAATTAACAAAAACAAAGAATAATCGCTGGGACTATAGAAAATTTCTCTGCTTACTCCAAATCGCCGAGTCTTATTTTCTATGCTTAAGAAACAAATTCTCCTAAAGTTAACAGTTCTACAAATAATTTCCAGAAGAAAACATTGACATTCGTCGCTGCGACGGTTTTCGGCGAACGGTTCGGCAACGGTTTCCTCGGCCCACCCCGTATACACCTAATTATGCATATATACATTTCTATTTGTCACGAGTCTATTGTTGAGGTTATGTATTGACACGAGAAACCGTAGATCGTTCGTTCGATAACCCGACGATCGATCACCATCATCCGATCGAAACAGTCGCGTCGCGTAAGCGCGCGTTATCGGACGAACGATGAAATCTCCGCGTTGGTTTTAATTGTAAGTTCTTGCGAGCGACGCGGGGCGAGGGATTACTCTTCGTTCCCTCTCCCCGTTGGCTCGATCCATTTTCAAAGGATCCTACGGAGGAACGCGGACGTTCGAGGATGACGGTGGACGTTCCGCAAGCGACAGCTCGCAACAATGTCGCATCACAAATTCCAAAAAATAAACGAGCACGATCATTTCCATCGTCACACTTACATCGATTAATTCTCTGTTCTGGCGCCAATGTATTTACAATTTCTTCTTGGCGTCACGATAATTCGCGGTCAATTTGCGCGTACGAAGAAGTGCACGGATTTAAAAAAGAGAAACAAAAAAATTAATTGCACGTGTATCTCGAATGATCGCGATCTTTGATTCACAGTCGCTGAAATTTCGATCGCTCTAGATAACAATGGGCCTACGAAACAATTGTTTAGACAAGCGTCGCATCGGGAAGGGGGGAGGACCGATCGCGGGGGAAAACGACGTCCACCGTCACCGCGACGATTCGCGTCGATCCGCGGGATTCGCTCGGAAAAATCCCTTCGAAAAAAAAAACTCGGCGCAATTGCGGACGAAGCGAGGGGACGCGTAAGAAGAGAAGCAAACAAAACGACGTGTGTTCGTTAGAGAAAAAAAAACGAAAGATCTCTTTTGATCTTGCGCCGTACATGACACAACGCGAGCAACCACCAGTAATCGATCAGATATTTTGTTTTTTCCGAAAAAGAAAACGAAAAAGCAAAATAGAGAAAAACGTAAGAATTGAAAAAAAAGAAAACAAAGTAGAGAAAGAAACGGCAGACTAAACCGCAGCAGCAGAGGTATTTTGGACGAGGTTGGAGACCGATCCGTTTCGATGATCGTCGAGCGATCCCCCAATGGAGGAGACTCGTTCGTTTCTGCGCGTGCACGGTCGCGAGGTTCCCCGAATGGGAGCGATCGGGCGATCGCTTGGCCTGGTTTGCATTCATACGTTCCCTCCATAACGTCTCATCCCGCGTGCCCCTTTCAGTCGACGGTCATTTCAAGGTCAAGTCACCGCTACGCTTTTGTCCGCGCACGCGTTCTTTTCCTTCACCGGGGCTGCGGAAAAATCGATTTGAGACAACAGCGAATCGACTGTAAATATTTCGATCAGATCGCGTGGCCTCAGAATTTGGCGAATGAAAATATTTTTGGGGATAGCTGTTGTGAAAATATAGCGTTGCAAGTAATTGCATCCCAAGTAATTGCAGTTCAAATGCGTTTAAGAAACGCAATTCGAAAGTAATCGACTACTATTTCGAGAATAGTTTATTATTGCCAAAGTTCTGTGTTGTTACACGAGAAGAGGAAAATATTTATAGTTCGTTTATATACTGTTTCAAAAATCGATTTTTCCCCGGGCCTGCTTTTGAAACACGTTCGCTACCAGCGTCATTGGCGTGCACAGTTGTATTTATTGTATTTATTGTATCGATATATCGTTTCGTTATTATTCGTTATTAAATACAGAGTATCGTATTAAATACATCATATCGTATTAAATATATCGTTTTGCATTAAATACATCGTTTCGTATTAAATATATCGTTTTGCATTAAATACATCGTTTCGTATTAGATACAGAGTATCGTATTAAACACGTCCTATCCAGCTATAAAATCTGATAAAAATGTTCTCAAAAAGGAGCCATAAATTTTCTGAAAATCGTGCCCTGTGCGTCGCACTTTCAAATAATTAAATTCGCAAAAAGTTCACTCGACGTGAAATACATGAAAATTCACGTGAAACACGTAAACTACAAGATCGTGGTCGTCGTGCACGTGCGACGACGCTGGTAGCGACCGCGTAAACGTCATCAACACGATGCGATCAAAAAATATATGCACCTACATGCAAATCAACATCGATGACCTCAAAAAAAAAGGAAAAAAAAAAGCATCGTATTCGTCTCTCGATACCGATCAAATACCGTGTACGATATGCATATCTCTCGCAAAAAACATCACTATCGGAGGAGATATTTAGGGTGTGGCCGCCTGTTTCAAGGGAGAAACACTATAATATAATTTTTATTCGGTGCCGTTTCGAAGAAACGATCGTCGCCGCAATCGCCGTCGCCGCGTAGCTTGCCATAGATCGCGATCGATGTTCGGATCACGCCAAGTGTTTTTGCTCGATCCCCCGCCCCCGCCTCTCTACGGTCGCGTTTAACGCGTCCGACGACGCCGAGCCCAGGCCGAGAAATAACAGAGAGACCCAGAGTTTAGCCGACCGAGAAAAAATAAGCAAAACCGAGACAAAAAAAAGTAAGATTCAAGACTTAAGAGAAAGACCGAAAAAAAGAGTATATATATATATAATACAATATATCATAGAGTAGTCGAGCACGGGAAAACGGAGTGTAATCGGTAGTGTCTAGAAAAAGAGCAAAAAATAAAAAAAAAACAGAAAAAGCAGGAAAAAGAAAAAAGAATGTCAAGTAAAAAAAAAAGTAAAAAATCAAAAAACAGTACACGGTCGTGAGAGAGAGAGCACGCGCTCGCCGACGTCGTCGCATATATATATATACATATTCTCCCGACGTGAAAAAACAACCCGTACGTACGTATGAAAACGAGGAATCGGCCTCGATAACACCCGAGAGAGGTGTTCAGCTTTGAAATCACGCCAAGCGGACTGCACGTGTAGTAGCGGGTACTCAGCCGACTATTATGATTTCCATCGTGGCATCCAAAAGTCCACAATACGACTGCAGTGATGCCTATTCTGGATCGTATGTCGCCTTTGTTTCCCGCGACGAGCCATTTCGTTTGTCGTTCGACGCCCGTTTTCTTCCACCCGCTCCTTCTCTCTCTCTTTCTCTCTCTCTCTTTTTCTCTTGCTATTTCTCTCTCTCACTCTCCTGCTATTTCTCTCTCTCTCTCTCTCTTTCTCTCTCTCTATCTCTCAATCATTCTCTTTCTTCCTTTCATATCTTTTTTTTCGTTCGTTCCCCGCTCTCGTTCCCACCCACACACACGCCGGTCGGTTTTTCGTTGACGTGTGCGTTCAACTCGGCCGCGCGAATTATTTTCTGCGGGTAATTCCATTCACCGTCCTTCATTCTCATCGACGTCGCAACCACTCTAACCAGAGATATCTCCCTCACCCCCGGTC